ATGTATGTATGTATGTATGTATGTATGTATGTATGTATGTATGTATGCATGTATGCATGTATGTATGTATGTATGTATGTATGTATGTATGTATGTATGCATGTATGCATGTATGCATGTATGTATGTATGCATGTATGCATGTATGTATGTATGTATGTATGTATGTATGTATGTATGCATGTATGTATGTATGCATGTATGCATGTATGTATGTATGTATGCATGCATGCATGCATGCATGCATGCATGCATGCATGTATGTATGTATGTATGTATGTATGTATGTATGTATGTATGTACGTATATATGTATGTATGTATGTATGCATGTATGTATGTATGTATGTATGTATGTAACTGAGCTGCAGTACTACAGAATGTGTAGACATATTATAGAGACCTTGATGAAATAATCCTGGATAAAGTCCCTAAAACCTTTTTGAACACTGAGCTAATAATGACTAAAGGAGTTTGACAGGATTTAAATTATGCTTCACTATTATCTGTATATGTGGATGTTTTAATTTGTGGCAAATTTTAGGCCACTGTCTACAAAACGTCATTTTATCTTGAAAAGCGGATTATTAAAAGCACCGTCCTGGTGTTCTAATCCTCTCCGTGTGAGCACACTCCTGGTTGCAGCTGCAGGGTGTGGTGCAGCAGCAGATTACGGAGGTGCAGACCATGAAGCCATTTTCAACACATCCACTTTGAAGCCCGTCTCGATGCAACTCATTTACTCTGCGAGCATCTCGGCTCAGTCTCCATGACAACGCTCCCTCATCCGTCTCACCATAGCCTCCCTTATCCTCAACTCGCTGTGCCATTTTGATTAGGTCAGTCACACAGAAGTTTCAAAGTCAGAAGCGTGACGGCGATCTGACCTTTTCACAGGCGGCAGAAGAACAACAGCACCCATAGAGACACAGATGCTGCCACCGATGCAGTCACCTCATGATGCTCTGGGTAAACATTACCTGCTTAATCCAACATTTTTCAGTCAGGTCATCTGGACAGTTTCTTTTTTTGTGCTGAAACGTTTCGCCTTCGATCCGGAAGGCTTCATCAATCAAGGAAACACACAACAAAACTGATTATTTCCCCAACAGCTTACTCCAAAGTGGAACAAACCAGTTCTGCTTGTGATAAGATGGTCTCTTTGGTACGGCCCCTCCTCCATTTCAGCACAAAAAAAGAAACTGTCCAGATGACCTGACTGAAAAATGTTGGATTGTATACCTGGATTATTGAGCATGGACTTTGTCATTACCTGCTTAACTTCACATAATTTTTAGCCGTTGCGAGGCAGTTTATTTGTAGGAAGTCACAAGTCATATCAGTGACAAGATGTCCCCATCATAACTTAGCCTTCTCTACCATTCAGAACCCCACACATGCACGTGAGCATGCACGTGCACATATACAAAACAGGTTGCAGGAACAGTCTTTTAAAGCATCACTCAGCAGTAGATATCTTGCAGAATAACATCACTACAGTACCACACAGTTGTTGACATTTTTGTGCAACCAGCTCACAACACAATTACACTTGAACAGACCAGTTCATATTTCTCCTGTTGAAACGTGACACTTTCATCATTGTTGGCAGCAACGCACACTAAATGTTAAAGTATGAATTGTAAAACACACAACAAATGGAAGACAGTCATTTAACACTCATGCAACATTGAGTGAGTTCCACTGACCAATAAAAATGGATGAAGCAACTTCATTATCTTCCATTGTTCACAAATAAAGCCAATGATGGCATGGTGTAATTAGAGATGTGGGGCAGTACCCTGCCTCAACACCCCACACATACACACATGCACACCCTCCCAACTCTCTAACAGGCTGGAACAATGTTAATCACACAGTAATACAATGTTTGTTTTAAAGCAAATAACATTAAAACTATCTAACAAGGTTAAATCAGGTCCTCTGGACAGATTATTCTTATTCTCCTGATTCTTCAGGTCCAGAGGACATTTATCTACCTGGATTATCGAGCATGCATCAAAATATTAAACTAATTATATTTAAAATTGCATGTCAGAAGATAAGAACTTTGATAATAAATACAATTTATGCCTGAAAAGTATGTCCATCCATCCATCCATTAGCTTGTTCTGAAGTTGGGTCGTGGGGGCAGCAGCTTGAGCAGGAAGGTCCATACATCTCTTTCCACAGCCACTTCTTCTAGCTGTTCTGGGGGGACCATAGGT